GTTTTTAATCTAATTTTACAGTGCAAGTTTCCCCTAATAATTTCCAAGGGTAATTTATTTTCATGAGAATATGATGTATAGTGATGTTAAGTTGTCCTCAGTCTCTTAAATAATTTTCCTAAGCACTAATAATTTTACTTAAGATTTTTTTTCTCAGATACAATTCTAGTTTTCCTTAGTAATGATATATGTCTATACATGCAAAGATATAAATGAAATATTCACAAATAAAAACTGTATTCAAATTTTATTTGTGATCTTATTTTTACTTTTTTGTTTCTTAGATTTTTTAGTTGAAGTCTATCAAAGGAATGAATAGAGTATAGCACTGAGGAATCCCCTCAGCTTTAATATGTTGAAGTTAAGGAAAAAGCTCTTTCCAAATTGAAACCTATTGCTGCAATGGGGCTCAAGGATAAGGTGCCAGATAAAGAGACAAGAGAGCTCATTGGGGTGGGTGATCTACGTGCAATGTAAACTAAGATGAGAAATTGATCCTTCAGTGTCAATTAAGCTGGAGAGACAAATTCCTTGAGATGGGGACTCACAGTGTGACAAAAGTGAAGAGGGAAAGTTCATCTAATAACAACCATTGGATGTGATAAAACAGAGGTTTACTAATTAAGGCAAGATGGAGCAGGGGGAAATGCAGATGTTTGGTAATGATCATGTATTCAATAATTTAATAATAACAAAGAATTGAATATCATAATAAATTTAACAAAGAATTGAATATCATAATAAATTTGACAGTGGGGTCAGATCTTTTGTTTTCTTCTAATATGCTGTTTATTTTTCTGTGAGATGTTTACATGATAGAAGGACATTCAGTTATTCATTATTTAAACCAGAAAATGTTTTTGGAACATGTTCTTTGTAAAATAAAACATGGTTTAAGTCATGGTAGGGCATGAAAAATATATAGGTGAAGAAGTTTTCAACTTAACATGAAAACGGTGAAGATTGTTGCAGTCAAGAATTACTGGGATCATGGCCACAAAGAAATGACAATATTAACAGGGAATCTGAGAAGCAGTGACACAAGATGTTAAAGACAGTTGGGTTTTCTGTGCTCACATAAAGTCTACCATAATAGCATATTTGTGTTACACTCACAAATGTGGATTCCATAAGCCATACTATTTATCAAGGAAAACTCTTGCACAATGTTCTTGCAAGCCAGTATGCATTTCTGTGAGTTGGTAGGTCAAAGAACACAAAGAGATCATTTCTGTCTCAGGAGACCAGGCAAGATGTGAGGAGAGTGCTAACATGGGATTCTGGGTGTAGCAATGGAAAGAACCAACAATAGCAAACTGAAGGAGAAGCAAAAGCCCCCAAGTGAGAGGGCTCAGCAGACCCTATGTTGAGTTTACTACTGAAGCATAGAATTTATTTAGAGGATTAGCAGATGGGAAAAATGGAGACAGTCCGGGTGTGAGTTGCAAGAGGACCTTAGTGCCTGGTAAAGGGTTGATTCTTTATCATGGAGGCAGTAAAATACTGAGCAGGAGAAAATAGAATAAAAAGGCTTTGCCTCATGAGAAGCTGAAATAGTGAAGGGAAATTTTGTGGTAAAGTATGATCACCTAAAATCTGATACTTTGAAAATAATCTCAAGCTAGACTGATTTCTCTAAGAGGTAAAATGTTCGTATGAAATTATATGAGTATTTTCAGGGACAATGGGGAAAAATTAAGCTACTTTTATTAATATGTGATTTCCCAATGAGATTGGAAATATAATTAGGAAGTGCTTTGAGGGAAATACTCTTCTAAGGAAATAAAAAAGAACTTGATATTTCACTTTTTTACTTGGGCACAATGCCAATTTAAGAAAAAACACAGTGGTAAGTACTACTGTTCTATCAAAGAGCCTAGACCTGGTTCATTCCATCCAAAGTAGGTCTAGTCTTCCTTTGAATCTGATTAGTCAAATGTAAGCATAATTTTAAAACAAACCAGGTGTGCTGGCCCAAACTTGGCATCTCAGTGACTAGGTAGGCGGGAAGATCTCAAATTCAAAGCCAGCCTTAGAAACTTAGCAAGTACCTAAGCAAAAGATCAAAAGTCTGTCTCAAAATAATTATAATAAATAGATAAATAAATAAGGTTGAAGGTGCAGCTCAGTTACTTGGGTTCAATCCCCAGTTTTTTTTTTTAAAAAAAACAATAATTTTGAAAGAGAGAAAAATGTAGAAATGGTTTACTTCTGAGCACTCTAATAATGGAAACTATTGATGAATCATTTGATAATAGTTTTATATTTTTCAGTACTTCTCCACATTATCAATACTCTATGTAACAGTGGAAATCATGGATAAAGGGTGATTTTCTTGACTAAGGAGTAAACAATGCAAAATGAATGAAAATCCTCACTCAGGCATACTTAAGATGCTAGTTATGACTATACATTTTAAAAGATGTTTCTGTCATTATTGTCTCACTGAATCTTTAGAATGAAGAACTGATTGAGTCTCAAAGGTTTATTTTTAATTTATATGCTTTTTTCCCTATAAATCTTAGGTTTGTAGAACACATCTAACAACCAAACATTATGAAAATTTCTCAGTTCTTAAACTTAGCAATTTCAGTTAAGAACTTTTTTTTCCTCCATGACTCAAGAGAACTAATGCCAAATGTTTTCTCTGATATAAAAAGACTGATGCATAGTGGGGTTGGAAGGGGGAGCATGAGAGGATTAGATGAACTCTAGATATGGCAAAGGGGTGAGAGGGGAAGGGAGGGGGCATGGGGGTAAAAAAGATGCTAAATGGATAGACATCATTACCCTAAGTACATGTATGAAGACACGAATGGTGTGAATATACTTTGTATACAACCAGAGATATGAAAAACTGTGCTCCATATGTGTAATATGAATTGTAATGCATTCTGCTATCATATATAACAAATTAGAATTATTTTTTGTTTTAAAAAGAGAACATGGGAACTTCAAGACTTTGGTGTCTTTTTAGATTATTGATTGCAGTACCAATACATGTATTACCTTGCTGGGGCTGCTTTAACAGACTGTTGAAAATTGAGTGTTGTAAACATCTTTAAGTTCTGAGAGCTAGAAGGCTAAGATCAAAGTATCAGCAAGGCTTGTTCTTTCAAAGGCCTGGGGAAAGAATCTGACCCATGCTTCTTCCAGTGGCATGCATTCAGTCTTTGGCATCCTTCAATTTATAGATGCATCCCCCATTCACCTGCCCTGATCCCTTTCTTTACATTGTATACACACACTGTGCACAGATCTGTGTCCACATTTCTCCTTCTAATAAGTACACTAGTCAGATTGGACTGGGGCACAGAATACTCAGTATAATCTCATTGTAACTGATTACATCCTCAATATTCTATTTCCAAATAAGGTCATATTATGAGGAGCTGTGGATTAGGACTTAAACATATGAATTTGGGGGAATGAGGGATGCAATTCAACCTATAACAATATACAGTAAATAGATGGTTCTGAACAGTGTTGTCATCTTGCATATTGTCTATTCATTATAGATCTTTCATCTGTTAGTTATCCAGAGAAGTTTTTAAAAAAAGGCAATTTGTATCAGAAAAAGGAATGGTTTTTCCTTTGTACTCGAGTTCTACCATTAGAGAGCACATCCTCATTGGCTCCGCTAGCATCAACACGTAATCCAGCCCCTGTTCTCTAATATACTGTACCTAAATCCCAGAAAAACCATCTCTTTTATATTAGCCCTTCCCTTAGGGACTGTCTTCTTCTTACATGAGAAAGTCCAAATGCTTAAGAGCGACATTTAGAATATTTTAACCACCAAAGCATAGCTGTCATTTGTACAGTCTTCACAGGTACAAGTCCATATTCTAACCAAATTCAGCTAATCACCATTTTCAGAACACAGCATTTTTTTTTCTTATTTCTGCGGGTTTGCTTATGCCTATTTTCTTACTGAAAATTCTCTTTCTCTTATGCATCCTATAAACCTGACTGAAATCCCATTTCTTCTTGACACCATCACCATGCACGGGTTATTCCTGAGTCTCATTCTTATACCACTCGTGTTCTTATAACTAATCTTGAACTAATTTCTATTAGTATTGCTGTTTTTTCCTCCCATGTTTATGGCTTCCTCTAAAACTGACTTGTAAATGTCTTTGAAGCAAATATGTTCTACTTTGTTATCCATAGAGAAGTATAGATGCTCAGACATTATTGACAGTTAGAATTGATTTACTGTGCTTTTTCTTTTATCAGTGAAGTACACAGTGGGTGTATTTTTGTTTCACTTTAATTCATTGTACTCCCACAGTTAGTTGTTAAATTCCCAGTTCACAGAGTGCCACATTATCTCATATACAATTGGGTGTCAGGGATCTGAATCCATCCTGTGAAAAGACTCCATCTAAACTTTAGTGTCCTTATCTATAAAATTAGATAGTGGTATTAATTTAATTCTAAGTTAACTCTCAGATATGTCTAAGAGCCTATACATTTAAAATGCAATCTCTATATAAAGTTAATCAAACAGTAATTTTATAAATTTATGCAACTATATGGATGAATGAGAATTTAGTATATTTTATTTTCTTTGTCAGTACAGACTGATAGTTCGCTTGATTTTATAATCCATGCTCTTACTACACTATAAATTATTTTAAAGTGATCTATTGAAAATAAAAACTGAAAAGCAAATTGGTGGTAATTTCTAACACTATGTAAGGAACTAGTATCAGCAGTAAACAACAGGGAGCAGAATTGGGGATGGGAGACGTAGTGGAACTTTAACAGACTACATATTACTTTCCCAATTGAAAAGAATAATCCAGTAGCTTGAGGGCCAGTGCCAGGTTTAAAGAAAGATCAACAAGTCTTGTGAAAGTCAATAATAAAGATAAGCATTTTGTTTTTCTTTCATGAAGTGTCTTACAAGCAAAATGTCAAGTCTAAACATGTCTGTGGAGTACATTGATAGTTTTATTACTATTTTCGCATAAAATCCAAAGTGTTTCCTCCTAGTCTTCACTTCAGTAGCATATATACTAAAATTGAAATTATACAGAAAAAAAATTACTATGGCCCTTATTCAAGGATGACACACAAATTCATGAAGCATCCCATATTTCCATACATTTTATGATAAAAGAATGTAAAAGGACATGAAAAAAATCTTTGGAGGTGATGAGTACATTTATTATATCAATTGTGTATTACAGAATCATAGATGTGTATGTATATTCAGCTCATCAAATTGTATGCAGTAAACATAAACAGGTTTCTATATTTCAATTAGGCCTTAATAAAGTTGTAAATTTTGTTTAAAAAAGGTTCTTACTCCTGACAGTTTTGAGAGACTACCATTTTGAAGATAAGGTAAAATAAATCAGTACCCAAGAGAAGCAAAATAATCCTTGATACTTGGTATCTGAGTTAGCTTAATTAGAAGTAGATGAGAAATGAATATGATTTTAGATTCCCTGGAAACTCAGAATAGAATTTCATGTGCTGCATCATTTTCATTGTAATAGAAGAAAAATATCTAGGTGAATCTACAGAGAAAAATGTCCTGGCACTGATGTAGACATAAAATCCATTTTGTTAGCTCTTTTATAAGGAATATTTGAGCAGAGAATAGACCATGTCTTCAACTTCAGTTTCTAACAGAAGCATTTTGTATCACTGGTCATTTTGTTTATCGAAGCGCTAACAGTGTTGAGAGCACAATACTCCATTTTAGCACAGGGGAGTTATCCTGCAGAGAATGAAAAACAAGACCTAAGCCCTTTTCTTTCTGATGATTCAATTCTTTCATGGTTTAACTGGAAAAATTGACATTTTTTTTGCTCATTATTATGTCCATCAGATTGCCTTGGAACATCTTTAAATGTATAAGGTGAGTAAGACATATGGCAACAAGACAGGAAGTAATCTCACAGGTAAGCATGCCCTGTGTGTGGAGTTCCCATTGGGAGCAGCCTCCATTGCAGTAGGAATGAGCCAAACAGGGTGCAAATAAGTCCAAGGAGTATGGTTTCAATTATCAGATAGTGGGAATAAGTTGGACAGGAGCTGAGGGAGAACCTTGCCTCCTAGGGCCAAAATAACATAAGGGTGGGTGTAAAAAGCTATTGAGTTCCCCCTCCAGCATCAAGATAATTTAGGACTCCTAGAAGCTGGTTCAAACATTGAAAAAGAAATTAAGGCACCCATTGGAAGTTCACATCAGTTTAACCCATTGAAAATTCAACTGAAGAGCTCAACCTCTTGAATCTCCAACTTGTTAAAATGTCAAGGGGTGGCCTCAACTGGTTCGAGGTTTGGTTAACCCAAAACACTGTGGCAGAGCTTTCCATCCCCTGAAATAAACTTTCCTGGCCACCACAGATAACTACACACTGCCTCCTTAACCAGGAGCATTGCTTTTTATGATTCATCTCCTATCTACTGTAGAAAAATATTCCACTGGTAGAATGTCACTTCCTTTTCCTTTGTGCATCAAGAAAAATGTAAGATTTGGGGTCATTCTTACACCAGCTTCCCAGGTTCGGTTCAGGGATTGAACTGAACTTGTGTTCTTCCATCTTCTTGTCCAACAAATACTAAAAGAGGTATCACCTCTTGAATAAGAGCTATTTTTTAAAATTTAACTATTATGAACAAATTAATTATTCTAATAATATCCATTTAAAGAAAATTTTCATTTATTAAACTTTATCAGTCATATATTCTGCCAACTACTAACATCATTTTTTTCTGAATAACTTAAACAGGCTCAGAGAATCTCAGTAATTTCTTCACAATCTTATGCTTAGAACCAGGATTAAATCCAGTTCAATTTAATGCTAACACATTTATTTTCCATTGGATATTCCTGCCCAAGGAGAAAATTAAAATAATTTTCTTTTACCTTAAATGTATTGTGGTATTTTTTAGCCCAGTTCTTAAAACACATGTTCTATATACCGAAATTTACCTTCTCTGAAACACTAGACATAAGAATCTTCCACCAGAGTCATTGCTGGCAGTTGGAGACAAATTTCATCAGGTGCACTGAATATAAATTTTATCATAGTTTTAAGCTGATACTGATAGAATTTACCTCACTAATAGGTTCTTATTTTCTAAAAGTGACTGTGAAATAGATCCTATAACATTCAAAATGACTGTGCTTCTTCTGAGCCAGGACTGGTGCTGGTCCTCACTGTAAGACATAAGGTAAATGAACATTTTTGGAATGCATACACACATTCCTCTACTTCTCTAATCATACACGTACTTACATAGGGAATTTATGCACAAAAGTTTGTCTAGGAAAAATCAACCCTTTCAATAGACAAATAATAAAAAACGAACTTGCATACAATTGCTATAAAAATACTACTAGAACAAAATGTAAAAGAGAGCAATAAACTTGTCAACAGATGAGAAAAAATGTTGCTACAGAACAGATATGAAGTTGTGACTGAAGTTTTACTATGCATTTAAAATGTTAATAAAGCTCTTAATTCTATGAAGGAAGACATGAATCATAAATGTAAGAACTCAAGAAAGTGATAATGAGACAAGTAGGAGGAAATGAAGTGTCAATTGACAGAATTCAATGAAGTAGAGACAAACCCAAAGCACCACAGAACTGTAAGAGAATTGCAAGGAGCAGATATGAGATTAGATACTTTTTGAAAGACAGCAAGACCATAGAGGCTATAAATGAGCTGATGCAAGAAAGTCAAATAAAAATGGAAGATAAATAAGGATTTGGGAAACAGTGATAAATGTATAAACCAGGCAAAGAAGAAATATAAATGCATAATTGGGATTCCTGAAAGAGAAAAACAATAACAATGGAACAGAACAAATATTTGAAAATAGAACTTAAGAAAAAAGTTATGAACAGGAAAGCATACCTCAGTCTACTAAAATCATATAACGTGTATCATTGAAAACTGACCCAATCAACACTGAGACATATCCTTCTGACACATGCCCAACACACATATGTGTTCATGACATATCCTAGTAAATTCATTAGCTTTTAATGACACAGAAAGCACAGGTGGTGGGGAGGAAGAAGGAAAGGAAAAGGAAAAATATTGGTCAAGGGGTACCAAGTTTCAGTTAGACTGCAGAAGTTTTAGTGATCTATTGTACTGCATGGTAATGATAGTTAATAATGAATTGTATATGTCAAAATTGACACAACAATAAATTTTTAACCTTTTGAAAACAAAAACAAATTGGTGAGATATTGTATATGTTAATTAGCTAGATTGAACCTTTCTACACTGATACATAGATTAGAACATCATATTGAAATCCATAAATTAAAATTATTATTTGTCAATTAATAATATATTTAAAAAAATACCTCTTAAACCATCAGGCAAAAGAATCTAACTTATTTATAGGAAGAAAGAGCATCAGGATTTCCCCTTGGTGGTCAGTGGAGCAGTTAAATTCTTAAAGAAAGAAAATGTAATCCAAGGACTTTATGTCCAGCCGACATGTGCATTAAGTATAAAGCCTACAAACAAGATTGAATGTGCCACAACTCAAGAAATACTGGTCACCTACCAAAGGTTGAGCTTCAGCCAATCAAGGGATGACAAAGAAAACTGTAGCAAAACGATTGGTGGTAGGCATTTAATTTATTTATTAGAATTAAAACTGATGTAAACACATGGATTAGATTAAAAATGTAGCATAAATTTTAAATGCCTGACAACTTAGAAATATACAAATAACAAAAATTGAGAGAATGAGGGAGAATTTTAGCAGTGTCTCAAGAAAACTAAATATCTATTTACCATATGTAACACACCACAAGTATAATATTTAGTGATTGTCTCATATGTCATTGTATGACATCAAAGGATATTACTGATAACAACAGATATATCAAGTAATGAATTATAATTTGGTATGGTTATATCCTTTAATGTTACAGAGATGATTTTTAATAAATATTATGTTTAATAAAACATTAGTTTAATAAACATTATTTTAATAAAACACCATTGATAAGTAACTAAAATTTAAAATGTCCAAGATTTTTAATGACAAAATTAATTTTTAAACATTTTACATTTAAAAATTGAGGAGCCCTTTGAATATAGTGAGGTAAACATAGTTTCTTTTATCCTGAGGAGATACTCTTAAAATTTCATTTACAGCAAAACTTAACCTTTAAATAAATGTTACTGCTCTTCCTTATACTTCTTTCTAGAAAATGTAGTATGTTGCATGACATTATGGTTAAGTTGATGGCTGTAAGTTTAGTGGAAATTATAAATGGTACAAGGTCTACTGATTTTTGGCAGCTAATACACACTTCAGTAGGTATAGAATTGGTGACTTTTGCTTATCTCTGAATGATGTTGAAGAGTCAGGGGAACATGGCTCCGCAGCAGGAAGTGGCTGTAGTCCCATGGCTTGATAGGCCATCTCCCCTCTCAAGTAAACAACTGCAAGTTTCTCCTATCACATGTGTTCGTTTGTTAAAGAACTCCTTGCTCTTTCATTTCAATGTAACAAGAATATGTTTCATCATGCAACATGGATTACAATATGTTTTGGGGTACCAAAACACCTTTGAGAACCTTATTGAAGCTCTAGTACCTTCCTGCAGGAAAACACACACATCCCATTTTGCCTGTCATTATATGGGATTCATAGAACCCATAAGTTTCATTCAAAGAGATCCTCAGGAATTATGGAAGTCAGGATAAAGACCCTGGTTAAAAATTTTCTTTGTAATTTTATCAGAATCCACTCTTGATCTTGCTTGTCATAACCACAGATGTTACTGAATGCTCTGAAAGCAGAAAGGTTGCTTAAATAGCCCCTATTAATAGTTCATCTAAGCCATCTCTCTTCTTGATTTTGAGGTGTAAGAGTGGTAATTCTCAAAAATCTGTCCCAGAGCATCTACAGCAGAAGCACTTGCATGTCAAATTAAATATTTTGTGCACATTTCTATACATATCTAAAGTTTCACTTCACCTGAAGATAAAGAAGATTGCAAAGGGAAATAGCTACAGCATAAATCAACAGTTGAGAAAGAGATGCACTGGAATTTGAACAAAGTAATCTGAGGAGTTGGTTCAAATTAGAGATCTTGGAACAGTTAA